TAAGTACCCATGACAACTACCTTGTTATAGTTCTATCAGTTGTTCCCAGTGTACAGACAGCCAGATTTACCACATAACTGCAGCCAGCATTCACAGGGCTGCCCTAGGAGGGTTTCTCCTTTTTTCTTCCTCTCTCTTTTCTTTTCTTTCTTTTTTTTTTTTTGCAGGTTTTGGCCGGGGCTGGGTTTGAACCCACCACCTCGGTATATGGGGCCAGTGCCCTACTCCTTTGAGCCACAGGTGCCACCTGCTAGGAGGGTTTTTCATATATTAAGGCACTTCACTCTCATCTGAGCCCTATACTCAGAAAGTGCAAAAAGCTAGGAAAAGGCACAGAGGAAGGAAAGCCCGGTAATGGTAATCTACACCCGAGGTCTGGGTTAAGTCTCCTAATTACAAATCAGGTTAATACACAACAGGAAACTCACCCGAGTCTTTAAGATGTCCAGTGATGATGCTTTCTAGGCAGGGCTGCCTGCTCTGAACAACGCTGACCTGGGGAACAGAAAGGGAAAGAGTCATCAGGGCCTTTCTGGATTGCAGGCAGCATTAGAAAACGGCCTCTAGGATGCACTGGCTCCAGATCTGAGGCTTCTGGGAGACTCCTGGAGACTAAGTTCTCACACCCAGAGATGCCCCTTCCAACCACCTCCCACCTCCAGGCCTCCAGGCCTCTCTCTATGAAGCAATTCTACCCGGACCCCCTCCTATCGCTCAGGTGGCCTGCTTGGATTGCACTTCTGACCTTTAAACTGCCCCCCTCATGACCAAGCCTTTGCCTTTCTTGTTAATCATTTTCACAACACTGGCCAGGCCCTCTTGCCCCTCTGCTGCCATCTTCTCCCGGAGGCGCCACGAAGTTAGAAGGCAAAGATGGGAGGCAACAGAGACGCTTGAGCTGCGGGTCATACCCTCCCCCACACCTGTGCTCACACGCGAGGCCACCACTTGGTACTCGGCTGCTCAAACACAACGCCGCACCACCCGTGGCCTCTCGAGATACCAGTCTGTGCTGTCACCCCCACGTAAGTGAAGACTCATCTGGCAGCCACCTGGACACGTCCTGGCTGTGCCACCCCGCAGAAACACACCTTCAGGAGCAGAGTCCGGAGACGCTGCCAACCACTTCCCACCCGCAGATGCTCACACGCACTGGCCCCGCAGCCTCAAGGCCTGTGGAGCACCACTGCGTCACAACTATGGAGACAAGGCCCAGCCGCATCACCTCCCCCGCACCTCTCCAGCAACTGCGTCACTTGGCCACACGTTCTGTGCCCGCCGCCCACACACAGCTCATACGCACGTATCTCAACCACCACCGAGTCGCGGAGGCTCAGTGGCTGCGTCACCACTGCAGATACGCACCACGGCCCTCATCACCCCTAATGACGCCCACACACACACCTGTGTCACAATTACGGGGACACAGCCCGCTGCTGAGCCCGCGCACTCCCACGCA